TTTTCTGATACACCTGACAATTCAATAGGTGATCCAGAGCATGTTAGACCGCTATAAGTTGCACCTTATAGACGGAAACATATTCTCCTATACCTATGCAGAGTGCACGTTAGCTTTAACTCTTTTGAGTAAACACCAGCTTCGGCTCTGTCATCCACTCGTAAATCTTCAGCGAGATAAGTTACACTGGATACTCATTTATAATACATTGTGACCGAAAAGTTTCCGGTCATAAATAAATAAAACGCAAAATTCTTAATCTTCATCAATATTTATTTTATCTCCTTCAAAATATGCTCCATTAGAAGCGATACACAAATGCCACGTTCTTCCCAATCATCAAACATTCTTTATAGGCGCTTTCCGGTATGGCTTTGAGTTCCCTCTGCGAATTCTGTTTTACGTCTTCTATGGATTCAAAACGCGTTCCTCTGAGTGGTAATTTGAGGTTGGGAAACAGGAAAAAGTCACACGGTGCAAGATCAGGTGAATACGGTGGCTGTTCGATGGTATTTATTGAATGTTTGGCCTTAAAATCGTTGATAATGTTGAACAAATTGAGGTGAATCGGAACAAGCCGGGCGTTGACACGTCGCATACACAAATTGTCCACCAAAATCAAACGAGCCATCTCACGACCGATGCCTAGCTCTCGTGCTATCTCTCTAACACTCACATGAGGATTTTTGAACACGATTTCCTTTGCCTTTTCAATGTTTTCGTCGGTGGTAGAGGTCGAAGGTCGTCCAGAACGCGGCATGTCTTCGACGGTCGTACGACAGTCCTGAAAGGCTTTGTACCACTCATAAACTTGAGTTTTCGATAAAACTGATTCCCCATAAGCCTTTTGTAGCATTCGCAACGATTCTGCACACGAAATTTCGTTCGAAAAACAAAATTTGATGCAAACTCTTTGTTCAATATTTTTTTCCATTGTTTTTTTCGCAACGCACTACTGAGGTGAACTGGTTTCAACAGCTGCCGTAAACGAACTGCTGACAGATCGCGGCTCATTTTTGGCATAGTAATTAAGGACAGTGCTGCCAAACTACATAAACTTAAAATATCGAAAAATATACAGCGCGCGAATTTTAAATGAGAACCTCCGAAAACCTTTCGGTCACAATGTAGTTCAGATATTTTGCCAGAGTATTAAGGTCACCTTGAAATTAACAGCTATTTTATATGAGTTTGCAAACAAAATGTGATTCCATTTCATATAGTTGATTATGAAAAAAAATCAGTAAAATAATCAGTAGATTACTTTAAAAATGTTCGAATGAGCAACGAAATTCTACAGATCAAGTGTAAATCTAGTTTAAATACAGATTTTCAAATCGGAAACACTATTTGGTAAGGTTAGACTATTTAATATAACAAACATTTAGCATTAATATATTTTAATATATTTCTTATATGATTTAAAATCAAGAAAACATAATAATTTTATTTTATTTTTTTTTATTTTATATCAATTAACAAATCGGTATTTTTGGAGGTTTAATTTAATTTTCATCGCCATTGTTATGGTTATCTCAAGGATTTTGTTATAGTCGATTTACATATCATATGTAGATGTCTCCTTAGCTCATACTTCTCTACACATACAACTGCTCCATGTATTGTGTTAAGTTTAGATATATTGTATTGAATTTGTCAAAATATTAATAACACAGTGAACGAAACGTTAAGTGCGATGGAAATCATCTATATTTGGAAATTATGCTTTAAAGTTGAATATAATTTAATACCATGTTCCCACTGCAGCTAAATCAAATTATGTAAATTAAATTAAGATTTGATTGTTTTCCATTGGCATAAGTTAATTTATGCACGTGAATAAGCTTTTATGTATCAGAAAGTTCTGTAAAAGTTCTTGGAAAGGTTTTGGTTGTTTAATTTTTTTCCTATTTAATCTAATTTCATTAACGTTTTAAATCAAATAAACTGTTTTAAGGAAGGCAATAGGAACATACTATAAGAGGCTATTTTTTAAAAAAGAGATTGCAACGGTAATAAATTACAAAAAAAAACTTGAAATCTTTACTTTAATTAATTGAATATGTGATGGATATATAATACATACATATATATATATAAATAATTGATTAAATATATCAATTATATATTTACTTTTTAAGTGATATATTATTCACTAAAGTTTATTTATAAAACAGAAGCTCTATTAGAATTTTGAAAGAACTTTCTGACACATAAAAGCTCTATCATATGCAATAAGTAATTTATTTCAATGGAAACGACACAATTTTAAAGTTACTTAAGTAACTTACTAAGTAAGCAGTGGTAAACGTTTTATTAGTTTTTGGTTAAACATACAGCTCTTTTGTGGATCGTGATACTTCTTTATCAATACTGAAAACAGCTGCACATATGGTCAGTTAAAAAATTTAATTAATTAAACCTTAAATATTTGTTTTTACAATTTATTACTGTTTGAATCATTTATATTCTTTACGAATAAAACCAGACAATAGATTTAGTCACATATATCTGACTGATGGATGCCAAATTAAACTTATTACCTGATTGAACGAGACTTTATGCGAGGATTTTTTGTAAAGCCTAATAAATGTAGTAGTCATATAGATAAAATTATTCAATTAGTTACTCGTATAATTATAAACAAGTGATTATATCTTTAATAATCAAAGTATAATAACAAAAGTATAAACAATAATTATAAATACTATTGGATTATTATTAAATACCACACTATTTTCAAACACAATAACCTTAGCGCGAAGAACAGAAAACTGATCTATAACCAGATAATTAGACCAGCATTACTTTATGGGTGTGTCGCGTATAGCAAAGCTGCCGACTCTACTATACAAAAGCTACAAGTTGCTCAAAGTCAGGCTCTCCGAAAACTTTTCAGAGTGCCTTGGTACATTCGCACAAACGACATGTTAAGAGACCTTAGAATAGACCCGATCAAAAAATACATAAGGGACAAGGCCCTGAAGTTATATGCGAAAACTGACAGGCTATCCTACTTAGCACTAGAGTAATCACTCTCCGCACGGGGAGGTGAGCAGATCTTAGATCAATCATAAATTCATCATAAATCATAAATCAGTCAATGAGATGGGTGGGACCCTGTAGAACCCTTAGTTATCAAAAAGTAAAAGTGCCCAGTTGCGCTGACTCGAAAAAAGGATCAACATACATACATACTATTTTCAAAAAAAGTTTTCTTATTATATACGAAGTTAATTAGGATAGAGGTTTATAAAGTAGAATATAGCATTTTATTGTAATAACGTCTCCTGTATTATATATGTAAATATAGAATGAAAATTAATATTAATAATTAATATTCTTTAGAACAAAAAATGGCGAATATAGTCCATCAAGAGATAACCTCAATAACAAATAAATAGAGAATTTGATCTGTATTCCATTAGAATTTTATTAATAATTGATAATAATTGACAAAAACAATTAATTAGTATTAAAGTAAATAAAAGTTGTTTAATAGAATTCAAAAATCATCAGTTCAATTGGAGAATTATATTATATTATATTGATTTTATATTGATTTCATATTGTACCTTTTTTGTTGGGTAAATTTTTTGTTGGGTAAATTGTTTTAGAGGCTTCAGAAATTTATTTAAAAACTCACTACATCCATCGTAAAGTATCTATGTCTTTTCTTTTATGGAAGACAATATTGTAAATAAACTAATAAGCTACTTATTACATTAATTATTTTATAGAGACTATAGAATACATCGGTTGAAATATATATTCCAAATATATCAAATATATAAAAATATACATATTGTCGGTTTCCATTTTCAATCAGTATGTTTTTCCTTTGCTATGTTCTTATTGTATATCACATGATAGAAGCAATAATTTTGCAAAATCTTTTTGTTAAATTTATTATTTAATAATAAATAATGAATTGTTAAATTTTTCACTTATATGAAAAACTAATTAAAAACAATTACATACAGTTTTCATAGAACAGAAGAAAATAGCTTGTATTACTGATTTCCTTATGTCGGTAGTATATGTAAGAGATTCGATCATTGGAAATTATTTTTTTACTACTAATTTTTTATATAAATTTTTATTTTAATTTGCATTAAAGTATTTGGAAATTTTATTAATTTATTTTAGCAAATAAAAAAAACAAATTAAAGTTTCCCAATCTTAGTTACTTGCATATATACTTGGGGCAAACTTTCAAATCAAATTTGACCATTTTTCAATTTTAAATTATTTCTACTAATCACATATATGCATTTATATATTAGTTATATTATTTATAATAATTTTTTGTTTAATTTAAGAACATTTTACTAGCATTCGTGCTTATAATTTATTTGCCGCTATTATTATTTAGCCGCAACTAATTTACATATGTACTCGTATTATATAGTTATATATATTTTGTACGAGTGTATTCATGACTATTTACATATTTAAATATAACCGCAGAAATAATTAATATTTATTTAAAAGTGAGTTAGCAAATATTGTTGACTTAAGTTGAGATAATTTTTTTTTTTACAAATTTTTTAGCTGTAATTTAAAATTTTGATTTTTAACAACTTTCAGTTTTAGAAAAAATAAAGAAATCTCAATATTTAAACTGAGCTAAATAAATTCTAGGAAATATATCTGAGAATAGAATAGTAGTTGTCTATTAGATTGTTCGGAAAGTAGTTTCGTTTTTTTTTGTGGAAATGAAAGACAGTTTTCATATAATAAACAAATACTTTATTAAATTATATATTGACCGTTCTGGTCCAACACCTTTTGCCAGCTTTCTGGTAGTACCATAATTCCACGCTTTGCTGGCAAAAAAGTAAATACAATTGCATTCTCTGTCGGGAAAAAACGAAATTACTTTCCGAACAACCTAATAGTACATGTTTTGAGAAATATATTTAATTTTCTAACAGAAAACGTCAATTTATTGGGAGATTTATGAGCAATATTTTCGGAGATACAGACTGTTAAATAAATGTCGATCCAAAAAAACTTTTCTGTAATAAAAAATACTAATAATTAATCTCGCTAAGCTACAATATTTTCATTTAGATCAGGATCTTCACCATTTTGGAAATTTAACAGAGTGACGCTTACTTCCAAGTCAAAGATTTTGGAATAACTTGAGATTCTGAGTCTTCAACACTATTTCAAGGTGACCACAAGCGACAGTGCATTCTCTCCATATGGTTTTTGGCACTCATTAAATATGTGCATGGGCTTAAAGTTTCACCCAAGTCCCTATAGAATGGCAAACCAAACCATGGAATTTACATCACCTTTTGGTCATTAAGATTGTGTTTTCTTGTTTCAAGTTGACTGCTTGCTGTGAAACTTCCAGTTTGTATGAAATTTATTCCATACTGATTGGAAAAAGAATATATAAAGTGTTTTTAATAATATATTTGGAGATAGTTCACACTGCAAGTAGTTCATTTAATTTAATAATCAGAAACATCTACAGAATCACGCGGCTGGGTGAGTACACATATCAATCATTTAAACGAAGTATCTGACGTTTATCTGCTGATGCAATGCATGACAATTTGGTTTGAAAGGTCTTTTGTGTTGTTTTTTTGAATTGATTGCAATATTTCACATTTTTTGACATTAGAGATATATTATCTGTCATTACCTACAAAAACTTAATTTTATTTTTGTATCTTATTAGCATATTATTCTCCTATATGAAATAAAAGTGTTGAAAATTTGTTTTTAATTTTTTTTAATGTAGTAAACTTACGTAAAATCTCTTATGGCAGATGGTAAAAATACCATAACTATAATACCATAAATCTATATATGGGTGTATTGATCAATAAAATTTTCCGTAATATAAAAATTTAAAATGAAGTAATACATCTATTACTACTCGTACAATAATTTTAACAACCCTGTTTAACTGTGAACCAATGAAAATTTATGCATGTTAGTTTTTTTAAATTTAATATTAACAGGTAATTTAAAGAAAGTTTTACAATTCGCCAATGGATTTAGTTCCTTACTAAATACCGATTTAAATTATAACTGATTTCATTAATATGCGCTAGGGAGCCTCAAAAACTGCAAGGGTTGGTAGATGCGGTATAGCACGAACTAGTTGACAACGAACAATGATGTAAGCTATATATTCTCTCTCAATATAACTGAATCAATTGATTTTTTTATTGTTTTTCTGTTCAATTGGCTATCTGTTCATCTATTTCTCGTTTAATCTGCATACTAGTATCTCGCGTTTTTTTAGTTGAATGAGAACTATTGATATCAATAACAGTAGCTTGATATCTAAGGCTGTCAAACTGTGTTCTGTTCAGTAAGGTTTGACAATTCAACATGATTTGGATATGTTAAATCATTGGTTTAAGCCCACAAGCCAGCTACTCTTGAATAATTGGAAGCCAATATTCATGTCACCAAAGATGGCGGGTTTTCTTCCCGGAACCACTCGTCAATTTTGACAACGAAGTACCGTTCACCAGCCCCCAAAAGAGACATAGCTCTGACTGGCTACAACAACAACAAAATCATTTTTATGTTAACTTAATAATATGTAATATGTTTAAAGTAGATGAGCCTTACAACTAATTCATGATTAATATACCAAAATCTCACTATATATCTACGTGGAGTGTGTGCCTTGTAATGCGATAAAGGTGCATTCAAATAAGTAGGTTGTAAATCGAAAAGTTGCCTTACGAATTAATTATTTCTATTCAGAGTGGTATTGTATATGAGGTCACACGGATACGATACAAGTCACTAGCAAAAGACAGTATAATGAAATATGATGAGACGTGAGTCAAAAAGTGTCATTAGTGGAGTAAAATCTTCTGTCATAATAGCTGTTTAGCCAGTGTCCTTACCCTGTGTTATATATCTTTAGATTTATCTTCAAACAATCTACCTTTTTATAAAGGTTTCATATTTGAATTAAAATTTTATATAATGTAAAATTTTTTATAATGTGTGATATAATTCATTGAAGCGTTTTCGACTGATATGGAAGTCCCATTTTACTTCTATTGTTTTTAGTTCGGTGGGCATTTTGTGGTTTGGTTTTAGATGTATTAGATTTATTATTTTTGCGAAAACTTCTATTATATTTTTTATCTCCAACCTACAATTAATTTTATAATTTTCCCTACATGTAATTGTTTCTTTGTGTCAAGAACCTTTCAGCGGTAACCACAAAATAAAATACTTTTGATTAAATTTTTATCTTCTTTTGACTTCAATTAAGGGCAAATAAATAAATAGACCCCAATGCTTGTGATTATAATGAGCGGATTAAGGGGCGTATACGTTACTTGATTGTGTAGAAAAATGCAATTTATAATTGCTTATAAACATTATTTTATGGCGGACTTTAAGTATCTGTGACTTTGAGGTTTTTCTCGGTACCGCATAAATTATATTGTACATATACTTAACAATGTCTTAATTTATAAATTATGGATGCAAAGTGCTGACGTATAATGGATGACAATAAAAGCTAAAATAAATATTTTTAATTTTTATCTCATCGAGTTGTATATTCCAGCGATTTCTTCACACCACTACAGACCGGGGAGTTCTTGTCAAATAAATTTAAAACTTTTCATTATTTTTTTTGGTAACATGCTTTTTATGTGTATATCGTTTTTGTGTGTGTTTGTTTCAGATAGTTTGTCGGTCTAGTGACTTATTACTTTCGCGGCACATAAGATCTTCTTATATAAATCCCAATGAATATAAGACTAAGAATATTAATAATGTTATGGAAGATGAAACAGACAATTATCGCTTCATTTCACATCAGCAACAACAGCGACTACAATCTCCAAATCGACAAGCATTAAACAGATCTAATAATGCTAATCTAACAAATGTAGATACTCTAATATCAAATATATTTGTAACAGACAATAGCTCGAATGGTATTATAATATTTAATGTAAGTTTTTAACCATCGCCTAGGGTTACTAAAATACATTTGACTAATTTGTTCATCATACGCTTAAATGCTTTTAAATTTATAGAGAACATTCAGTGGCTATAAATCACCGAGAAATCATGACACTCACATTAATCCACTTTTTGTTGAGAGATCAACTCAGCAAATACCGTCATTCAAGGTGCAAAGAACATCTGATGGTAAATTAGATTTGGTTTTTAATAATACTTTACATTCACAGGAACCTATTCTGGCTCATCCACCTAGAAGTCAGCAAGGACGTAAGCACAGTTTTATTTACTAACCTAACATATATTCATGTATGCTTAACAATTACAGCAATAATCTTCAAAGATCCACCCAGTAGCGATACACCTACATGTAAGGATGACTTACATGCTGCTAAGCCATTTTGTACGGAAGTTCGCAATTATCCTGATTTGAGTAATTTCGAATCAAAATTATTGGATGAATTTTCCAAACTTCAATTTTTCTTTTCGGATGAGCTTGTGCAACCTCAAAATGTACAACAACGCATAAATATCGGTCCAGATGAGAGTTTCTTCTGTACTAGTGAAGAGAAAATTATATTTCCAAAAGCGCAACTCTCAAAAAATAACGAATTATTGTTCATAGTAAATGATAATGACAAATTTAAGCAGGGACTACGTGTGGAGCTATGTTCGTAAGTATTTTTTATGGTCAAAACATACACAGGCAAATATAACCAGTACTTTTGATTTTAGGAATGAAGGTAGCAAATGCAAGTATTCCGATTCCCTACCGAATGGTGTGAAGGCAACCTGTAAGCAAAATCATATCTATCGTGCACTGGTAGCCATCACTCCAAATGGCACTGTTGTAACAGATCAGTTCAAAGTGCCGTCCTGTTGTAAGTGTATCCTGAAGGAAGTTCATTAAGCTTACGTTATGAACTCACCGCAGTTTATGTCTACGTAACTTTGTACGATTTTATGTAAGTCAACAAATTATATATATACACGTATATATATTATTAAACAACACAACTAAAATAAAGTTTATGAAATAGAATTTTAAGTGTCAAACATACTTCTTCTTCTGTTATTTTCATCTCCCATTGAAGCATAGGGCCTCGTCAAACATACTAGTCATATTGAACAGTAGGAAACAACAACAACAAAATTTTATTATTTATTAATTAATTAAATTTTTGACTGACCACACAGCAGTTTCGTTTTATTGCGGATTGTCGGATTGCCAAACACTTCTTTTTCTTTTTTAAACATATATCTTCTTTAATATTTAAAGTATATATAATTAACTATTCTATGTTGAATTTGTAGTTCATACTTGAGAACTTAAGAACTCGTTGAATGGTATTATTGCAACAAGGTTAAAGTTTAATTCAGTTTAACCCAGAGAGAACTATCAAGGATATTGATCCTTATTTTATTGAAAGCGAGCAAAGATATTTTATAGATAATCAAAACTTAAAACAATATTTTTAAATTATAATATAATAAATAATTATTTTAAGATTAATTGTTCTCTTGATTTTAATTATTTACTTTATTTCATTCCAGGAATCACACCCACCCGCAACAGGATGGCAGGCCAAACTGTCAAGGGAATATCCCAAAAAATAATTTTTATATGTTACAAAAATCTTTTATATCTTTATATATAAATATATATTAATAAAATAATTTAAAAATATTTTTTATTTATTTAAGTTACGTTTTTAGTTTTAGCTTTACTATTTATTGTACAAAAACATTTTCTTAAATTATTTTCAAATGTACCATTTATAACTATGCTACTTAATATTTAAAATTAAATGTAATCGAAAACATAATTACTATGTGATATCAATAAAAGTTTAATATATATATCAATAAATTTTAGATGTAAATATTACAGGCATGAAAATGGTGTTTCGTATATTTAGAATTCAATCTGTAATATGAAAAATTTATATATAAACTGAGTCCACAATGCGATATCATCAAACTGATTCACCAAAAACAGTTACAGTGAAGGTAAGACGTTCATTGTATACGCTTTTTAAACTAAACTGTCAGAAAGCAGTAGTAATCTGGATGATCTGCTAAATCGAAAAATCGATTAATGATATATACAGGATGTGTTCGCAGGTTCCCTTGTCAGATGTGATTAAGAAACGCAAATGTCACCATGAAACCTCTACAGTGGTATAACACTCAGAAAAATATGTTTTTACCACGTACTAGTTAAATAGACCTGATTATTTTGTTAGAAAAATTTTAACTCTCGTGGTAAAGAAGAAGATAAAAAGCAACATGTGGTATGTTTGAAACAAATATTGATGCGTTGAGTAAAAATATTTCGATCTAAGATATAGTTAAAATCTGGTCAAGTCAACGAAAATATTTTTCTGAGTGTAGTTTCGGATATGCAGATCCGAAGAAAAAGTTTTATATTTTAGGGCAAAAGTACTTTCCAAATACTTTTAAATAGTCGTAAAACTATATGGTGTCTTCCATCTGTACGATATCATGTGAACTGCTTACATACAGAAGTACAGTAAGGTGGTAAACTTAGTTGATACCGCTCTTGAAAGAGAAGATTCCAGTCACGACGATCAGGTTTTCAGCAGCACAATGCGACATCTAGTTGGATTCGCATTACACTGGCTTGATTTCAATAACAAGTAATTAAAATTTTACTATATTTTACTATAAAATTTTACGTTCAAGAAAGAGAAGATTCGAGTCGCGACGATCAGGTTTTTAGCAGCACAATGCGACATCTAGTTGGATTCGCATTACACTGGCTTGATTTCAATAACAAATTATTGAAATTTTACTATATGTTTTGTTTTTAAAAGAAAGTCTTTTAGGTAATGGAGAAATATTGTTATTGTTAGACTTCAATATTTATTTTTATCAAACTTTTAGAATATTATTTAAACGACGAAATGAGCTTAAATTTATATGCAGTTGTTTTCAATTTCGGTAATTGCAAAGCAGACGTGCTAACTACGAGTGGTTCTTCAGGAACTTACTCGAAACTGCTAAACAATCTAGGCATATCGCTGATATACCAACTGTCACTGAGTTTTTTCTATGCTAATCTTTTTGATAAAAGATGGAAAGACTCAATAACATGTAGGCATATGTATGCACATTGGCCACGGGCCATTAAAAAGAAATTCTCTCATTTAGATACCCTGTGGTGATATCAGTCTTGTGGTAGGTTTACTTACAGTCATTGGAGATTAGAAAATAATGATTTAAGTTTGAAGCTCCGTCTCAATTATACCTGTTGCAGTTGCGGAGAGGACCATGAAGTGCTTCTCATCTGCTTTGTTTTTTCTGCAGGATCTTAATCAACTGCACGACGTTCCATTAAATAGCATTTTAAGCTTTGCCAAAGGTTCAAGGTGGTTTTAAATCTCTAAGTTTTTCTTTAATACGGTAACACTATGGGCTAATAGGTCTAAGTGGATCCTTTAAGATCGCTGGTACTACCTAACCTAAGTTTTCGACTTGAAATATATTTTGATATGCGAAATAATTAATATTAAGAACAAAATTTAAGTTATTTTTTTTTTAATTTAATACTTTTTTAGTAGAATAAAATTGATTAATCAAGACATTCCTTTTTTTTATGTTATTTCCCTTTGATATTGCTGTATTTTGCGCAGAACTGTATGATAATCTTAATAATACAGACCTGCAGTTTAACATTACTGGATGCTTAAACAAATTGGCGTGCAAAGATTATATATGCAAAGAACGTGTATGCGAAGATCGTATGCAATATCGTATATGCAAAGATCGTGTATGTGAAGATCGTATAGGAAAAGGTCATATGTGCAAATACCGTGTATGCAAAGATCGTGTATGTAAAGATCGTGTATGCAAAGATCGTGTATGCAAAGATCCCGAGAGCGTATCCGCAAAGACCGTATAAAGCGAAAATATTGTTTTGTACAAGATCGTAAAATAATAATGACTTTGATATTTCTTCGAAAGCTATCAAGAGCTTTAAAACTTACAATGCTGGGGTTAAAATTTATTAATTAATAAAAATAATATATTCTTCCATGTCTCATATGTAAAAGTGAATAAATGATCACATTTACTTTACAACTCTGGAATATGAAAAAATTGTCGCCGACGTTCATATGTAGTTAGTCGAGTGTTATCTTCTAAAACCGTTGTTGATATTCTTGCTTTGATGATAAGAAAAAAGGAATTTGTTTAAAATTTTAAAATCACAACATTTAGTCTCTCTTCGCCCGGCATTCAGCAAAGATGTTTATTACATTTTTGAACGCGACGTTTTTATAATATATATATGTATATATTTCATATTTATTAACTGTTAAAAATTGTTTTCTTGTTTTTTTTTAGTTTAAGCTTAGTAATATGTAATATTCAGTGATCGGTTCAACCTTTGTAATGTTCAAAGTAATTATATTCGTAAAAATTATACCGGGTTTTCTTAGTTAATATAATTTGTGAATTAGTAAATAAAAAGTTTCTTGATCTCTCTATATAAATTTAGTGATTAAAGTAAAGTAACTTAAATTTGTTTAGATGTTTATATGAGTGATAAAAAATGATTTTATTTAAATGCTAACATACACTGCATTTACATGCATATGTTATATATGTATATAAATACACTTCTTTATTAAGAATTGCAATTTTAGTATTCAACTTTCGGTAAGTCTTTAAAAAATTTATTTATTCACTTTGTTTTTTAAATATTTTTAAATAAATAAATTTAAATAAAAAATAAATAAATTTAATTTAATTAAATTAATTAAAAACAATTAAATAAATTTAATAAAGTTCAGATATTAAAATTGTCAAGATATTAATAATATAAAGTAGTTTTTCTATGTTGAGTATATAAATATTAAATTCTAATAAATTATGTTTAATTTATAAACAATAATTTATACACTTTATGCTTTTACTTTATAACTCAATAGGAGAAAACTTAAATTTTAACTATAGTATGTACTTCTATTAATTTTTATATCTTTCGTATATATATATTCGTCTAAATGTGTTAGATTTTAAGTTTTAAACTTTAACCCCACAGTCTTAATTATAAATACTCATTTTTATATCTTTCATATTCAAATTTAGTATACCTATATAGTCTGAAATGATACACATCATATACTAAATATTACAATAAGATCTTAATTGAAAGTTCTCAACACTTTTTCTTATACATAAAATAAAGTTATTATAAAATGTTATGTTAGCTTATACCGGCAATCCTTAAGATCCACTTAAGCTGATTAATCCATTATGTTACTATATAAGAAACTCAGAGGTTTAAAAACTATCCAGAACTTTTAGCAAAACTTAAAATGGTTTTTAGGGATACGCCAAAATGTTTTGGTGTTCCAAGTGATTACCTGAAGCACTCCGTCTGGTCAGCTATAATGAGTCGATCTTAGAATTTTAAAACAATAGAGACGCAGATTCTTTACAGTACCCTCGTATATGTTCTTGATTTGTTTGATAACAGTAAAAGATTAGTGATATTCGACATTTTGTTTATTTTAAAGCAAACTATATGCCGCGTTTTTAAGACGTATACTTCAAATTCAATATCTGGAATGTTTATAAGCGAAAACTGGTATACAAATTGATCAGAACAAGTAAAACTGTTATACCTTCTTTATTTATAAAAGCATTTAATTAAAGTTTAATACGTTTAAATAAGGTTTTATAAATGTATAATATAAATGTTGGTTTTTTATTTCGCAATATAACCAGTTATTTATAAAGCAACATTCTGAAACTATTCGAAATTTTACCTATCGAAAGATTTAGAAGTGTTGGAATGAGTGTATGATTTTTAAAAGAGAGTATTTTTTTTTTAAAAGAAGTCGAATTTTTATTAAAAATTTTCGTTAAACCTAAAATTAAAAACTAAGTCAAAAATCTGAGTTTTCTTATATAGTTCGAAAACTCCTTGAGTGTTGTGTTAATTATAGCATTTCGACATAAAAATGATCTTAGCACAATATAGTTAGTAGTACCAAATTTTTTCTTTATGTCTGTAACCTTAAGTACCTGGTTGAAAACGGTTTAATCCATCGTATTCAAGAGCAGACCGTTGGTTATTGCAGACGCTTTCGATTAAATGTGTAAAATTTTTTTAAAAAAAATTTTGCGTACACATTGTGACGGCTCGATGCATCCAATGTCTTGCATAACATCCGCAAGCCGAAAAAAATGTACTTTTTATTATTTTATTTTTAATTATGTTTTACTACTTATATGCAGTGTGAATCGTTGTTTGTGTAATTGTCTAATGAAGTCAATACCTTGACAGTAATGAAGACAATGTCTTTAAAGATAATTTGAGCAGCTGAGACTCTTGAAAAACTTAATTCATTTTGACATCAATGAAATGCTTTAACAGATTTGTTTTTATATTGCGATATCTGCAATATAAATATAGTACGTATATAACGTTAGTACATGTTAGAATGTATATACATATATATATATATATATTCATTATATGATTGAAGTTTCATTGTTTGACTAAACAAAAATATTGATTTTCTAGCTCCATATATAAGTAAACACATATTCACTTTATAAGGAAAATGAATAT